TCCTGGGGCTCCGCTTCCAGGGGATTAACCTCAGCAGGTAGCCTGGCCATGCTCAGGCACAGGCTGCTCCCCCCTTGGGAACTCAGCTCAAGGAGCTGTAGTCAATGGCCGAGCCCTCCACCTCCAATTTGTAGCTCTAATCCCCCTGGCTGAGCCACAATGGCTCCTTTACCCATACTTGTGCCTGGCTCTCACAGGCCTCAGCCTGGCCTCTCGCCACAAACCCTGAACTGAGGCCCCCAAGAGCAGCAGCTTGGGATGGGGCTGGGGTGGGGGGCAAAGGTGGGGCTATGGAAGAAGGGTACAGATGAGGATATAGAGATGGGAAGGGAACAGAGGAGCCTGTTACTGTTAGCTAGAGATCTCCACTTCAGAGGAAGAAAGTCAGACATGTCGAGGTAGGAGACCTGCATGGGGCTCTGCGGTGATAACAATCTTTGGGACCCTTTGCCTGGAGGGCCCTAGTTAGGATGCCCTTATCTTTTTCTCCAAGGACCCCCAGTGGTCCAGAGATTAAGCCTTAGGCGACTAACTAAAAAGGCCAGCAGTTCAAACCCCACTAGCCACTCTGTGGAAACAAGATGAGACTGTCTACTCTTGTCAAGATGACAGCCTTGGAGACCCTATGGGGCACTGTGTCTCATGGGATAATTATGAGTCAGGATCAATTTGACGGCAGTGGGATATCCTTTTCCTGAAGACCTCATCTCTGAGCAGTAGGCTGGGCCCAGAGCCAGAGGAGCGCAGACACAGGTGTCAGAGGGACCTAGGCTCAAGTCTCAGCATAGCCTAGCATCACCTTCAGTATAACACTTTCAATGACTGAGACCCAGAAAGGCAGATACCGCAGCCTCTCTGGGTCTCAGTTTCCCCACCTGTAAAATGGGACCGAGCTAGGCTCCCTCTCATAAACAACATCCAACAGCATCAGACATGCAGACTGAGGATAGTCTTTGGTGTCCCCCAGCAGACCTCAGAAAGAACCTTCACAGATTGGTTTTCAGGACAAGCCTGCCCAGTGGCCAGCTGCCAATATTTTAAAGATCTCTCTCCCGACCCCAGGTGACCCAGAGCTGGTTTGGGGACTAGAGGCCCTGACCCGGAAGAGGCAGGCTTGGGCTCCCAGTACTGCTTCGACGACGCCCAGAGGCTGTTGCACTGGCCAACTCCAAGCTCTCGGAGCCCTCCAGGCTCACTTCTCAGGCCCCAGGTAAAAGTAAGGAGGGGCGAGTCCCGGACCAGCCCCGCCCCCAGCCCTCTAGATTGGGCCTCAGCCTGAGAGAGGATCTCTGGCAGCCCGGCACCGGACGACCCCCCCACCTGCACCGCCATCCCGCGCTCCAGGCCCCTCCCAGGCCCTCGGTGGGCGGACCCGGCTGGGCTGGGCCGGCTCTGGCGCGGGAGGGAGGCTGGGGAACGGATCAGCTGAAATCAAAGCCGCCGCTCCCCTACTCGCCATGCTGCACCCCTGCCGAGCTGCCGCGCACCTCCTCCTTTGTCACAATGTTTTTCAATCCGGGGAAGCAAACTGTCCAATTAGAGCCGGGGCCTCTGGCTTCCATCTTTGCCGACGTTTAATTAACATGCTTCTCTTGGCAGCTGCTGACAACTTCCAGAAACAGGTTGTAAAGGGTTTTTGTCTTTACGCAGCATGGAAAATGAGGGGTGTTACATCGCGGGAACATGAATAGGTTGCATTTCAGCTCCCTCCTCCCTTTCCATCGTCCACCCCCTCCCCCCCAAGAGGAATGGAAGCCCCATGTGTAAGTGTGTGTGAATGGAGGGGCCGTGGGAGGGGTGGAGGCAGGAGAGACCTTCCCTCCTTTTCTTCTCACCTCTCCTTCCCAGGAGTCTTTGCTCCACAAAGGATCTGGCTTCTCCATCTTCTCTGTCTTATTCTTATTCGCCATCTGTCATACTTCTGCCTCTTCTCTCATCTAGCCATAGGGAAACCTCACCACGTTTATTCCTGCCCATGGGCCTCTGCCCATGCTGCCCTTTGGCCATCTTTCTGTTAAAACTCCTATTCAGCCTCCAAAACCCTGCTTAGACGTCCCTGCTTTGAGGAGCAAGGGCATCAAATGCCTCTCTAGCCACCCCTGGCAGAATTCAGGGTCGATGATGGGTGTCAGATCTGCCCTCAGCTAGACTGTGAACTCTTGAGGACAGGAACTGTGTGTTTGCTCTGCCCAAGGCATGGAGTCTGGCCTCAGTAGGTGATGAAAGATGGAGATCTAAACTGCTAAAGCCTTGCACCATTGTGGAGGGAGACCAGGGTGGGCTTGGCAGGGAGGAGGAAGAGAGGGCTGGGAGAGGGGTCTGGCGCTACCCCCACCCTTCCAGAGACTGCCTTTGAGATTAGGAACAGGGCCTCAAGGAGGGGACTGTAGGTATGGTGATTTCCACTGTGGATGAAGGCTTAGGGATGGCTGCTCAGACCCTTCATCCCTTGGACACTCAGCTCACCCAGGGCTACAATCAGTGCCTCAACTCTTTACAAGGCAAGAAAGGGCCTTGCAGAAAAACCCCAGGGCAAGGGTAAGCCCTGTTAGGGCTCACTGATGAGGCAAGCTCTTCCTTTTCAATCTGGGATGGGTGGCAATGTGTGTGTGAGTAGGGGACCAAGGGATCAGGTCTGGGGGAGGAGGACTGGCCCTACACCCACCCTTTGAGATTAGGAGCATGGGGCATGAGGCCGGGCCTTTGGGGTCCTTCTGTCCTTCAAACTGGTCCTGTTGGAGCATTCACATTCATTCTACAAAGACTCTCTAGGCCTTTATTCACGGAGGCCGCCATGTGCTTGGCACAGAGAATGGGAGGTGCTGGTTGAGGGGCAGGCAGGGGGTAGAGGAGCCCAGCAGGCAGTGCTAGCAACTAAGTAGTCCCCTCCAAGGGCTTAGGTCTAACCGTGGTCGGACCCAGCTCCACTCTTGGCCTGCCATTCTCAGGATAAGACCACCAAGACCTGGGGCAGCAGGCCTTCTACAACTAGGACCTGGCTTGGACACACCCACAATCTGTTGTTCCTCCTTCTCCATTCCCAGGCAAGGGTGGAGGGGAGTATAGGCCTGCAGGCAGGGAGCAGCTGGCCTTGCTCTCTTGTTCCCAGCCAGGTCAGCATCAGCAACCTCCAGAGGCCTGGAACACTCCATGGAGCCTGCAGGGAGGGAGCCAAGAGCAGTGGACCACTGTTACGCTGTTACGTCCTGACATAGTCTTTCCTGGATGAGGTGGGCATTAGAAGCAACTGGTGACAATCTTCTTCTTCTCGTTCCTTAAATCCTAACATCCCCTCCTCTGATTAAATCACTCCAGACCCAACTATCTCCAAGCCCTAGCTTCCAGGAAGATCAAGTAATGACCATCAGAGCAATGATAACAACCTGGGCTCAGATCCCAATTCTATTTGACAACTGTGTGGCCTTAAAGATGTTGAGCCTCTCCCAACCTTCATTTCCTCATCTATTACAAAGGGAGAAGTAACAGTAGTATGTTACTCAGAAGTAACATGTTCTGAGGTTCCTGGGTGGCTCTACTAACTAATCAAAAAAGGAACCCTGGTGGTATAGTGGATTATGCTTTGGGCTTCGAACCACAGTTCGAGTCTACCCGGTACTCCACAGGAGAAAGATGAGATTTTCTACTCTTGTAAGATTTATAGCCTCAGAAATCCTCTACAACCCATTATGAGTTGGACCTGACTTAAAGGCCAGTCACTAATGAAAAGGTTGGTGGTTCAAACTCATTGCCACCTTGGGAAAAAGGCCTGATGATCTTCCATAAAAATGACAGTTAAGAAACCCTCTAGGGCAGTTCTACTTCATCTGTAAGGTAATAAATACATAGGGTTGCCATGCACTGGCCTCAACTTGATGGAAACAGGTTTGGCTTTCGTTTGTAGAGTTCTTGGAAGGGTTAGATGAGTAAAGAAATAGAAAGGGCTTGGAGAGGAGGCAAAGCAACATTGTTGTTGTTTTGAAGTGCTCTCAAGCCAGCTACCCTACATAGCGTTTCTGAGGAGCGGCTGGTGGATTTGAACCTTGCAGTTCAGACTGACCTTGCAGAGCAGTGCTTATCATGTTGTTGTTGTTAAGTGCTATCGAGTTGGTTACAACTCACAGCGACCCTGTATAGCAAGCAGTCCAGTGTTGATCCTACAGCACCACATCAGGAGTCCCACTTACATATTAGTTCATGGAAGAAAGGCAGGAAGGGAGGGAGAGAGGGTGAGCCTTGCTTGAGGGGCTCAATAGAATAGAGTTAGACCTGACATCTCTGTTTCTATAGATGAGGAAACTGAGGTTCAGTCTCTAGAGTGATGAGAATTCTAGAGGTCACACAGTAAGCAACAAAGCCAGCTGTCCACCCAGACCTTCTCCCATCTATTCCTCCTAGTCCAGTGTGCACTCTGTTGGAATACCCAATGAGCAAAGGTAAGTACAGGCTTACCTGTGCTTACTGTTAAGCTGTTAGTGACCAGCCTCACATGTTTTCCACCACAGCATGTGTCTCTTCCATCAACCAAGCATGATCACGCCACCCTAAGTAGCAGGGGTCGCAGCTCCCACCCTCATTTGTAACTTTTCTCTCTCTCTCTCTTTCTCCCTTTTTTTCTTTTAGTTTTATTATGGTAAAATATATGATGGGGCTTCCAAAATTTCGTGGAAAAAATTCCATGATCTTTTCATTCCATTTTTTTCCACAAACTTTTAGAAGCTCTCTTGAATAACAAAATTTGACATTTTTACCATTTGCAAGCAATACAATTCGGTGGCATTAATTGCATTCACAATATTGTGCAACCTTCACTACACTATTTCCAAAAATGCTTTCATCACGCCAAACAGAAACTCTGTGCCTACTAGTCCATGCTTTCTTTTTGTCCCTTTTCTGGTAACTCCTGATTTCCTAGAGTGGGCCCCTACCTGGGAGAACCTGTTCTTCATCCCCTATGGACAAGTCAAACCTATGCTCACCTGCCTCTCACCATCCCTGGACGTTTAGGGTGCCACGGTCTTGAGGGCAGGGTTCTCAGGGTGGGAGCTTATGGTCTCTTGTTTTTCCGGCATCTGCAAAGAAAAGAGGCCGCTCTGAGGTCCTGGAGGAACTAGACCTACAGCCCAGGCGAGCCAGGAGCAGTAAACAGTGTGTGGTAGGCGCCACCTAGCGAACATTGTGCATTCTGCATGCTATGGAGCACAGTTTATTCTGTCTGCAAAGAACTCTGGTAACATAGTGGTTGAGTTGGGCTGCTAACCTCAAGGTCAGCAGTCTGAAACTACCAATAGTTCCGCAGGAGGAAGATGAGACTTTCAGCTCCTGTAAAGACTTACAGCCTCGGAAACCGGATACAGGCTCGTTATCAGTCAGAATTGACTCCATGGTACACAATCACCAACCAACCACTTCTTGCCATGCAAGCACTGCCCTGGGTGTTGGAGCATACACGGCAAGGACCAGGGCAATGGGAGGCATTCAGGTGAGTCACACAGTGACAATAACATTTGCTAATAATCCAGGGGCCAGTAACCCAGGTTGAGAGGATTCTGGGAGGATGTGCTTAATCCACTCTTGAAAAATAAGTAGGAATGAGCCAGGAGAGAGGTTCCTGGTTGGTGATTAGAGGTGGGAGATGCAGGGGAGGCTGGAAATGAATCCAGAGTGCATGATGGGACAGATAGGCCCTATCTTAACCTCGGAGCTTAGACTTGATCCTAAAGACAGCTGGTGGGAACATCTATCTCCTTCTCATCTTTTGGGAAGCCATCTCACCTTCCAGCTAACCCATCCAGAGGTAGAGGAGAAGGGAGGGGGCTTGTCAATGCTGAGCTTCCATTTGCTTGGAATTAGATTGCTTGGAATTAGATACTGCTGCAGGATACAGAGCTGAGAGAAGGTGTGATGTTTGAATACATGACAAAGATCAAAACAGATCCAAGAGTGAGTGAGCTGCTGTGTATGGGAACTGAAAATATTTTAGAGTTTATTTCATCAGCATTACATTTATGTGGTTCTAATTATGGTATCTATAAAGTGCTTTAAATATAGAATGAAATAATTATGTAACCAAAAATGTATTAAGAATATAACAACACAGAAAGGTCCTCAAGATAGGGAGTTACCGAGACAGCAGGCTGCAAAGCTGTGTGCAAAATATCCCAATGGTTTAAGAATAACATTTATGTTCGAAGAACAACCACCACAAAGGCTCAGAGGAAATATACCAAAAATGTTAATAGTGCTAGCATTCAGGTGATGGAATGTCTCTATTTTTCATTATTTCCAGATTTTCTTTAACGCTTATTTTATTTTTAATTTAAAAAAAATGTCATTTGTTGTTTGGTGCTGGGTTGACCGCATGTGAGAGAGTAGAACTGTCCCATCAGGTTTTCACGGCTGTAATCTTTTCATTTGTTTATTATATCTCTAGCTCTTATTTGGTTTAAAACAATTGTTCATTGGGAATTGAGTGAGGGTTTACACACAAGATTATCAGTGTTACGTTCAATACAGGCTGTAAGCTGTATGGGAGCAGATCACCAGGTTTTCCCCCCAGAGCCATTTAGTGGCTTCAGATGCTCAACCTTTTGGTTATTAGCCGATCATTTAACCATTGTGCCACCAGGGCGCCTCAAAAAACCATTTAAGAAGAGTGAGTTTAAGATCTTTGATGAGGGACTAAAATATATTAAATGGTTATATAATTATTAATATTTATTAAATATATAATTATTCTATTATAAATGGTTATGTTATATATATATATATAATCTCTTCAATAAATGGTGCTGGCAAAACTGGAAATAAATTTGCAAAAGAATAAAATAAAACCCAAATCTCACATCGTATTAAAAAACGAACTCAACAGGGATTAAAGACCTAAATGATTCCGTTGTGACTGATTGTTTTCAGGATCAATCACGATGGTCACAGCTGTGATTGTAGAAGACGTATAACTAAAAGTGGGGAGCAGCTAATCTTTTTTTCAGGGACAGACGATCCCAGGACCATCAAGAAGACAGAGCATAAGTAGAGTGTGAGATCCTACTCAGAAAAACAATGACAGCAGAGACCGTGGCCAGCCGATGGCATAGAGAGAGTAGCTGAGGTCTCCAGGCCCATGGACTGAGAAAGGCTATGTGCCTGAGGGTAGGAGGCTGGCTTGCAAAATGTGCCCTTTGGACATTTAAATGAATAAGTATTTTTTGTTTTATCACTGAGATGAAATCAAACTTATGATTGGTTGAAAGTAAGATTGATGATCTGGTCTTTCACTCAATTCACAATAAAAAGTTAAATTATTTATAAAAGAGTAAATTTAAGAGGATTACTAGATATGTGCATGACATTGATGTGTAATGAATATTAGTTAAAAGGACACTGAAAATTTCTGGAATGTTTTTTAAAACACAGAGCTAAATGAAAGCCAATGATGGATGGTCCTTCATCCCCAGGGTCCACAGACACAGGCCTGTGGTCAGTCTTGAGGGAACAGTGCAGAAGCTAAGGGGATTCTCTCATCCTCTATAATGCAGTGCAAGTGGTTGTTGTTGTTAAGTGTTGTCTAGTCAGGAGCTCTGGTAGCGTAGTGGGTACGAATCGGGCTGCAAACCTTAAGGTCAGCGGTTCGAAACTACCAGCTGCACCACGGGAGAAAGATGAGGCTTTCTACTCCCGTAAAGATTTACACCCTCGGAAACCCTATACAGGGTTGCTATGGGTCGGAACCGACTCGATGGCACATAACAACAACAACAACAGTCAGTTTAGACTCATAGTGATCCTGTATAGGGTTTCCGAGGAGTGACCTTGTGGTCCAATGCATTATCCTGCAGTGCCACACCAGGATTATGCATGAGGTGGGAGACCTAGCCAAAGTCACACAAAGTCCAAATGTGTCATATTTTTGAGTTTTCTGGTATTCTACTACTTTTAGTTCCTAGAACAATTTCCAAGTTGGATATTTGCACAAATACCACTCTGGCTGCTGAAAGCTGTGGGTCGTCACAGAACTCGGTTTTGGTGCCAGAATCAGGCAGACCCTTCTTCCCATGTAGAGGGCCCCAGGCTCTCCTGAATTAGGCTCTCTGGGGCAGCACCTGAGAGGCTGCATTTCCACAAGGTCTCCAGCTTGCTCTTAGGGAGACCAGGTGAGCCCTGCACTGTGGCTTTTAACTCGGGCTGTATATTTGAATCATCCTGAAGCTTGAAAAACAAACAAAAACTTATGCCCAGGCCCCGCACCAAAGCAATTACACCCAAATTCTTGGCGACTGAGGTTTGGGCTCTGAAATGGTTGAAGGCTCCCAAGTGATGACAGTGTGCACTCAAGGCTGAAACCACGGGTCTAGTGCAGTGGTTTAAAATCAGCATCACCTGGAGGGTTTGCTAAAACAGAGTGTTGGGGCTCTGCCTCTGAGTTTTGGATTTTACAAGTCTGTGGTGGGGCCTGAGAATTTGCATTTCTAACAGGTTCCCAGGTGATGCTGTTACTACTGGTCTGAGGACCACACTTTGGAAATCACTGATCTAGAATATGCCTGAATGAAGCCCTGAGGGACAGAAGTAAACTCCAGCTGCAGTCCAGACTGTGGGCTGTTTCTGTGACCACTGTAGCATATGTAGAAAGAGACATCCATCCATACCAGACCGACCCTCCAAACCCTGGGTCCTGGGGAGCAGGGAGGGGAAAGCTTTCATCTCCCAAGAGATTTGGCCTCCCAGACGATTGTATAGGATGATGCAGGCCTTCCACCCTGGCTTCAGGGTCCCAGTCAGCTCCTTTGTGCTAGGGGACATGTCCACAGAACTCACCTCCCAGTAGATCTCATCCTCAAAGCAGTTCTCATCTGCAGGCTGTGCCCAGAATGGGAGTTTCAAAATGATTCCTAAACAAAGTGAGAGGACAGAGGCAATCAGGAACTACCATCTTGGGAAAATCCCTTCTGGGATCCTTGGGCTGAGGTATGCATCTCCCTAGCCCCACAACCAGGAGTGCAGAGGAGGTGCCTGGGAGCACTGGGCTAACCTCCGGTCCCCTACTCAGGCAGGCTCCACCTCTTCATCCCAGTTACTCCTACTCACCTACAACACCACCGCCCACCAGGGCCATGGCTATGGACACAAAGATGCCGGCAGCCTGGAAACTGCCCTGAAGATCTGTGGTCCTGTTAGTCTTGCCACTTTCAAGGTCAAAGGCATGGGCAAGCCTGGGATAGAGACAGGGGGCAGGTCAGGGTCCCACAGAGAGGCAAGTCACCATTGCTGTACTCCATAAATAGAAGTGCGTACCAAGGCCACAGATGCATTAAACCCTGAACCTCAGCCTTCCCATCTGCAAAATGGGAGCAGTGGATTGATCAAATGGTCTCTAAGATGTTTGTAGAGCTTGGAGAGAGATGCTAGTGGCCCAGAGCAGGAAAGAAGGGAGACAGACACATTCTTGGATCCTAGAGGATCGAGGGATGGAGAAGGAAGGAGAGAGTTCAACCTCCCACTGCCCACCATACTCACCCTTCCTGCCCATACACTTGCAAGTTGGCAGAGGCTGCTGTCACCGCACCCACTATGCCACCGATGAGGCCAGGCAGGCCGTGCAGATTGTGAATGCCACATGTATCCTGAATATGCATGTGGGCCTCCAAGAAAGGCTGGAGAGGGGAGGTGTGTGCCGCTCAGACTCAGGGGCTTTGAGTAGTCCAGGATTCTGGGGGTTCTCATACAGAGACTTGGGATTCCCCCAACCTCCCTCCCTTAGGACCCCGCCCCTCACCGTCAGGTACACGAAGCCCAGGGTAGAGATGATGCCACTGATGAAACCAATGATGAGGGAGCCGTAGGGCATGAGCATCATCTCAGCAGCGGTGCCCACAGCCACACCTCCTGCCAGTGTGGCATTCTGGATGTGCACCTGTGCAGGAGACCCAGTAGGTGGAACTCAGCCCTCTCCCTAGAGCATTTGCACTGCCCCTTAGCTGACCAGGAACAGCTTGGGACAGTTGTCAGCAGTACTTACGAGCCCCCACACCAGCAGGTCTGTCCATTTCCTGTGTGCACACACATCTGCAGGGGAGCACGTGCACTCCACAGATCTGTGAGCCTGGCTGCACATCCATGAGTTCCCTTTCTGTATGTGGTCCGTGCGTGCTGTGTGCACCAACTCACACGTCCCAATGTCCTCTACATGTATGTGTACTCAGCACAGGTACATGCAGCCCTGACATATATGATGCACCATGTCAGAGAACCTCTGCACTCAAAACAGTAACAGTATTCACTGACACACCTGGGGTCAAAGGCTGCTGAGGGATGGTTTCATTAGATCACCATAAAATCCCATGAGGTAAGTTCACTTATCTTTTGAAGTTTACAAATGAGGAAACTGAGGCACAGAGAGGCTAAATGACTTAAGACCACAAGCTGAAGGGTATTTTGACCTAGGTCTCCCTGGGGTGCAATACTATAGCCCTCAAACCTCCATAGGTGAGTGAACAAGACAACAAAGTTTTCTTTGCCTTGGGATGGGCAAGTAGAGCAACTTGAAGAAGCCTGCCAATCCAAGGAGCAGGCTGTGAGGAACCCTGGAGTAGGCACCTGGCAGAGGGGAGGTGTCTCGGCTACCTTGCAGAGCAAGCTCAACACAGAATAGCTGTTAGCATCCCAGGCTTGGGGGCTGGGGGAGGGGGCGGGTGGAGAAGATCAGAGGAAAAGGAACCAGCTCATCCAGAGCAATTGGGCATAGCAGAATTGTCTTAGGCTGTGTTCTCTAGAGAAGTGAAACCAGTGAAGCTCTTATATACATAACCAACATTTATCTCAAGGAAATGCAGTTGTAAAGGCTGGCAAGTCCATGGGTCAGACGTCAGACTGGAGGCTTCTCCTGATTCATACCCAAGATTAGCAGGTAGAACAGCCAGCTGTTGGATGCTGTTGTTTGTTGTTGTTAAGTGCTGTTGAGTATGTTCTGACTCATAGAGACCCTGTATAGGGTTTCCAAGGAGAGGTTGGTGAATTTAAACCACCGATCTTGTGGTTCAAATTGACCTCTTGGCCCAGTGCTTTATCCCACAGCACCACACCAGGATGCACTTGATCGGCAGGTCACTGGCTCTAGTCCAAAGAAGCAGAGGTCAGTTGATGACGAGCCAGATATGGGTTTCAGATCAAGCAAAAAGCCAAAGAGTTTTGACAGAACATCCACATATATGATTGGATGCAGGCCACACCCAAGGACGCTAAATTTCACCTTACTGACTGCTCATAACAGAACTCATGGAACTCAGAACACATTATATTCGATCCCATCATGGGGATGCTTGTAACTTTACATAACTGCCAAAACACTGAGAATCATGGACCCGCCAAACTGACACACTGCCTTAACAACCACCATCAAAACACCTGCACATACACACCCTTACACTAGCTGTAAGCTCTAAATAAAGGCAATGAAAAAGTCATCCTCACACCTAACATGAGACACCAGCACATGCACAACCAAAAACACACTAGTGCCATTTACAGCTTATATTTTATAAATGAGGGAAACTAACCTATTGGATACACAGACACAGGAAGAAATGCTCATAACAATTTCTGTCTCTTGTATTCCAGAATACTCTTCTTTACCCCATTATGTAAAGATCAAACTGGGTTCCCCTTGGCAATTAGGATCACTCACACCAGCCAATATAGTAACTTCTTTCTTTGCCTGTTGGTTCAGAGGCATTAAGAACCCAAAATAGCTGGATAGCAGTCTTAACTTCCATCTCAATGGAATCAGTATTGTGTTGCTAGGTGGGTACAGTCCTCCTTTTGGACCTTAGAATGGCACCACTCACTATTATTCCTAGTGACCCACTCACTATTACCCCTAGCGACCCACTCACTATTACTCCTAGAGACCCACTCACAAAATTTGCGATTCCTGTCCCTGAGGCCCATATGATTTGTGGATTACTGCTTATACATTAATCTGATGTACATTATTGTAACCATGCTCACCTTGTCTTTGTTGATTAAATGCTACCACTTGGGCCCTACTACCTCGTAGTCCAATCAGCCCCACTGTAGTTAGGTGTCTTAATTCTATTAGAGCAGTCCCCATTGTCAAATCTGATTTACATAAAGTAGCAATCCAATCATAGTAGTCTTCAAGGATTCTGGGGTTCCCTTCACAAATTTGTTCCTCACTGTTGTGGGAAAAGGTTTAGATCTATGGGTGTAACCGATAAATTCACTCCAACAGGCTAATTTACCTAAGCCTTTCATTATTTTCCTGTACAGTGTACCAAAGCAGGTTGGATCTTTCTCCTTGATTTAGTGTATGCGACTGCATAATGCATGTTTCAGTGAAGCAACGAAATAAACTATTAGATCCTTTCCTAGCGTCTCGAGCTGAAACACTGAATGAAGAATTTATGCTTGGTGGTGGTGGTGGCTGTGTGCCATGGAGTTGGTTCCAACTCATAGCGATCCTGTACCGGGTTTCCGAGGCTGTAAATCTTTACAGGAGCAGAACGCCTCATCTTTGTCCCATGGAACAGCTGGTAGTTTCAAACTGCTGACCTTATGGTTGGCAGCCCAATTCATAACCACTATGTTACCAGAGCTCCTTATGCTTAGTGGGCCCATATCAATAAGACTGATCCAATTTTACATTCCTTGCACTATTAGCCCACATCCTTAATAGGCATCCCATGCATGTCAGATTTTTAACAAAACTGAAGTGGACATATTCACAAATCACTGAAGCTTTGCAGTAAGTTTACAGGCATGCTTCTCCACATAACAAACAGTTTCTAGATAAGCATTTTGTGTAAGGCCAGGAAGACCTCAAAGATGTGCCAAGAGAGGGAAGACTATCAACCTCAGCGAATGAAAAAACTGTGGCTGAAGTCCAGAAACTGGTGGAATGAGACCACAGAATTACCACTGATGCATTCGCTATTGAAGTTGGGATCTCACACGGTCCAGTATTTTCAATTTAAGCAAACATCTTGGTTTTGCAAGCTTTTGGGTTGATGGGTGCCAAAAGCAGTGCATGAAGTAAGCAATATTAAAGTTAATGAGGATGAGTTTTTGGAATGATTCAAAACCAGGGATGAGTCTCAGATTAACCAATATGATCCAGAGAGCAGGGTCCAATTCAAAAGAGTGACTTCTGAAGGCACCTGCTGGCCAGCAAGGCAGAGAGATCAGATCAGAAGCTTATGGTGATTGTTCCTGGGGACTCCAAAAAGGTAATCCTAATAGATTTTTTGAAGGAAACAGGACAAGAGCAAGGGCTTATTAGGTAGAAGTTTTAAGAAAATTAAAAATGACATTGGTGAGAAAAAGGCCAGGAAAGTTGTGCCAAAGAATTTTTTTCCATCATGAAAATGCACCTGCTCATTCTTCAAGGGTAATAAGGGGAGTGTCCTATGATAATTTTGTTGGGAGACTATCCCATTCACCCTATAGCCCTGATCTTGCTTGTCCATTCAGACTTCTTTTTGCTCCTCAAACTCAAAGAACCTTTAAAGGGAACATGATTTGAATCCCTTAAGGACACCCAAACTGCTGTTTTGATATGAAATGGAAACACTGTCTTCAGACGTGTATAGCCCTAGAGGGAGGACATGTGGAAGAACAGTATCTTCACATTTTGATATTTTCTATTACTAAAGGTTTCTGTGACTTTGGAGCACTGCTTTTTGACTTATCCTCATACAGACAGAGGGAAATGGCCCATGTGGGTGTAGAGGCTGGAAAGTCCCAGAACTGTGGGTCAGACATCAGTCTTCTGATTAGTGTAGCTGCAGGGGCTCATAAACTCAAGATCGGCAGGTAGGATGGAAGTCTGCTGGCTCACAGAGAGTGGAGGCTAAAAAAAACCCAAATTCACAGGCAACATGGCAGACCACAGGTTCAAGTTCAATAAAGCAGAGGTCAGATGATGATGAGCCAGATGCAGGATCCAGATGGATTTAGAAGTCAGAGAACTTTTTTAGAACATCCATATACGTTGGATGCGGACCAAACTCACAAGGATACTCATTTTCAGCTGATTGGCTGCTCACAGCTGATCTCATCATGGAAGTGATTGCATTGTATCAGATCTCATCAAGGAGATGACTACCATTATTACGTAACTGCCAAACTATATCATAACTGCCAATCATGGCCCAGCCAAGTTAATACCCAACCTTAATCATCACAAGAACTTTCCAGGATCTGGTCCAGGGCTCTGCTAAAAAACAGGTAATAATTTAGACAGATTATTTTCCCTTAAGCCTCAGTTTCTTCATCTGAAAAGTGGGTAAAATAGTGCTGCTGTTGTCTGCTTTACAAAGTTGTTGGCATGGTAACCAGTATCCACGAGGCACAGACAAACCTAATCACACCTCCCCACCAAGCCCCTTTACCATCTCTGTTCCCCGCTCACCATATCCAGCTTGCCCTTCTTGTGCAGGGCACTGGACAGTGCCACCGAGGTGAGCACACATGCCGCCAGGGAGCAGTAGGTGTTGATGACAGCCCGGTGCTGGGCATCCCCATGGTTGGACACAGCTGAGTTGAAGCTAGGCCAGTACATCCACAGGAAGAGGGTGCCTGAGCCAGGTCAGATAGGCCGGTGGGTCAGGGAGACAAGATGTTAGAAAAGGTCTGTCCTTTGGGCTACAGAGATGCCAAATGAAACATACATTCCAGCTGCTACCCACCTCTGCAGTTTCAGGCATGTTTAGTGCCTAACTCTTGCCTTCTACTCCACTTCAGGAAAACTCTCCTGGCCAGCCATGATTGCTACTACAGTATCATGTGGGAGAGTCTTTTTCTCCATGCAGAGAAATTATCTGGTGGCTTTGTTGTCCCTTTACTACACTTTGAGGAGTTTCCTGAGGGCAGGGCTAAGTTTTAAGAAACAAGAGTGAGAGGGTTGGTATGTGTGCTTTGAGATAAATGGACACAGGAAGTAGAAATGCATGCCTGTCTCAGCTCATGAGCAGATGACCAGTTACTGGATAACAATGTCTGCCCTAGGGCATTCTGGGGAAAATACTGGATGAGCAACCAGCTTCTCCTAGTCCCATAGGATCCTGGAAGTGTCTGCAAGCAAACTCCCTCTGCCTTTTCCCCAAAGGGAACTAGTTGCCACCTGTTAGACCATGTGCGAATCAGATGTGATCAAGGAGGCCTGCACTTACCCACCAAGGCCATGCTGTCCCATCAACAATGTGTCTCACCCATCATGGCAGCTCTCGCCCATATGTGAGACTTCCCCAATTACGGGACTCTCCTCTATCCTTGCACCCTCACCCACAAGGTAGGTAGCTCTCACTCATCGTGCCAGACCTCACCAATCATGGCAGCCCAAGCCCATCATGGTGACCCTCAGTCCTCATGACAGCTCTCACCAATCATGGCAAAGAGGTCCGAGTGGTACACAGAACTCTGCCTCTCCTTGCTCTTCTGTAGGTTGGGTCGGTAGAGCATCCAGGTCACTGTGAGCCCAAAGTAAGCGCCAAACGTGTGGATGGTCATGGAGCCGCCTGCATCCTTCACCTGGAGTGCAACAGCCTGTCAGGTTCTGACTCCTGGTCTCCCTCTTCCCACACACAGGAAGACAGAAGTCCAGGAGCCTCTGACTCTGCGGCCCCCACAGACCAATCAGAGGGGAAAAGGGAGAAGGTGGTGATCCATGAAGACAAGTTGTAAAGCCTGCCAGCCAAATGCCAGGGCTGCACGTAGGCCCCTGCATCACAGCCTCACCAGATGGGGAAACCCAGGCTTGGAGAGGGGACTGACTTGACTGAGTCACACAGCTGGAGAAGCAAAGCAGAGCTAGAACTCAGGGCAGCTAGACTTCCCATGTAGTTTGTTCCCCACTGGCTTCCACCTTGTCTTAATTCTCGGGTCTCTCCTCACTGCACTGCCTTTGCACAACCACCCCTAGACCAATAGCACTCTCCGTTAAGTAGCTGCCTTCCCCCTTCCCTGGCATCCTCTCCCTCTAACTTCTCAGTCAGCCAAGTCAGCCACATCTCACCCTCTTCCTCTCTGTCTCCTAAAGTCAGAGAAGGCAGAGTTGGTCCCCTCCCCATCTGTCCTTCCCTGTGCCTCTTGCCTTATCTCACTCTGTGTCTCTCACTTGATTTTAAGTCTCGAATTCCTCATTTACAAAGTGGGGAAGGTTATAGGGACTTGGCAGGGCTGTTGTGAGGATGGAACTAGGCAATGGGTATAAAGCACTTGCTAAGTGCCAGGAACTCAGTAGGTGCTCAGTTGATGCTAGCCTCCTCCTTCCTTCTTTCTCATCTTCTCTTCTCCACTCAGAACCAATCTCAGAGGGAAGCCCAGTTAGAACCACAGACTCACCTCTTCTCTTTAGATCGGGAAGCCCAGTCAATGTGCTGCCCAAGGTCATACAGCTACTTGTTTCCCTCCTAACTGCATGACCTTGAGAGTGCCACTTAACCTTTCTGAGCCTCAGCTTTCTCGTCTGTAAGATGGGGGTAATGATTGTTCCAGCCATGAGGATGCAAAGCATTCAGAGCAGGGTCTGGCAAAGAACAAGAGCTCCCTATCATCAGTGATGACTGTTGCACTTAAACTTACCTTAAACAGAAGCTAACAGGTTGTCATGTGGAAAAAGAACTTCTGTAACAGACTGGGGAAGGTTCTTGAAGGTCAAAGGAATCTCTCCTGTCTCTTGACTCACTCCTAAGATACTACCTTCCCAGCATATTTCAGATCTCAGTAAACAGCCCCCCTGTTGACTTTCCCACCTGGCTTACATTCTTTCCCTCACCCCCCAGCAGTATCCCCAAACCCACTGTCCATTGCTGCCCAGGAGACCCTATTCAAAGCAACCCTAAAGGACAGAGTAGAGCAGGCCCATACGGTTTCTGGGACTATAAATCTTAAGGGAGCAAACAGCCTCATTTTTTCCCATGGTGCAGTTTGTAGGTTTGAACCACCGACCTTGCAAATGAGCAGCCCAATGCTTAACCCTAGGCACCTCCAGGGCTCCTTCATCAGTATCCAAGACCTGTTTATTCCTCTTCCTTTATATCTCAAATCAACCACTTTCTTCTCATTGCACTAACCCAGTCCTGGTCCCATTATCTCTCTCCTCAAGATGGCTATGATAGTCTTTTCACTGGACTTCCTGCCTTCCAACTGTTTTCATCACAGACAAGGGACATTTCACCACTCCTCTGCCTAAAACCCTCTGTGGCTCCCTACTTCTCTGATGATAGAAGCAAAACTCCTTAACAAGTATCCAGGAGTCTTGACGATTTTTGTTGCTCCCCTGCCCTCTCACCATCTCAAACACCCCTCAACATATACAGCCTCCTTTCCAGCCAGACTGAGCCGCAGCCTCCTGCTTCACTGTGTGTCTGCCTCTAGGTCTTTGCACTCCACTGCCTCTGCTTGAATGCCATAGCTCACTCCTTTTCCTGATTAGCTCCTACTTGACTCCAGGAAGCCTCCCTGATCTGCCAGGCTGGCTTGAGCACCTTCCCAGGAGTCACTGAGATTCTGAGCTCATTGTCACACTGCATGACCACCATCTATTTCCTTCTCTTACTACCTCTCTGGACTGTGAGCTCTTTGGGGTCCAAACTTGAGTCCTGCTCCCCTCTGTACCCCAGTGCCTGGAGCACTATCTGACATGCTGGCAGACTCCAGCATGCACCTACTTGATGAATAAACATAGAACATTGGTCCAGAAAGGGGACAGCACATGAAGAGAATTATAATGAGTTTGGGGTTGATTTTAAGTGAAATAAAAGACCACTGGAGGGGTTTCACCATGGGGATGGTCTGATTTACATTGCTGAAAGGACATCCTGGCTGCTGGGTAGACAGTGGCTTGAGGTGACAAATGTGGCAAGGATGGAGGCAGGATGGGTCAGGAGGAAGAGATGATGTGGTTTAGACAGTATGGGGGCTGAAAAATGACTAAATGAATGATTGAATTTAAATGACGTATTGCATTGAGCAAATCTGCAGGACAAGAACTTTTTAAAGCATTGACGAGCAAAGATGTCAGTTTGAGGACTAAGGTGTGCCTGACCCAAGCCATGGTATTTTCAATAACCTCATATGCATGCAAAAGTTGGATAGTGAACAAGGAAGACCATAGAAGAATTGATGGATTTGAATTGTGATGTTGGAGGAGAATATTGAAAGTACCACTGACTGCCAAAAGAATAGATCTGTGTTGGAAGAAGCATAGTCAGAGTGCTCCTTGGAAGCCAGGATGGCCAGACATCATCTCTCATACTTTGGTCATATTGTCAGAAAGGACCAGTCCCTGGAGAAAGATATCATGTTTGGTAAAGTGGAGGGTCAGAGAGAAAAAGGAAGACCCCCAATTAGATGGATTGGCACAGTGGCAGCACCAGTGAGCTCAAATGTAGCAATGATTGTGAGGTTGGCCCAGAACTGGGCATTGTTTCATTCTGTTGTGCATAGGGTCACTATGAGTCGGTACTGACTCAATGGCACCTAACAACAACAACAATTGTTAGGAAGTGTTTTCTAGAGTTCAACTGGAGAGGAGAAGGGAGCTAAGAAATAGGTGTGGTCCCTGAGTGACCTTCTCCAAGGCACCAAGAAGGGTTCTAAGCTGGAGTCAGAGGTCTAGGGTGCCTCCTAACCATCATTCCTGCCACAGCCTATGGAAATGACACCCCTGGAGTTGTGCAGTGCAAACTCTATGCAGCTGTACGTGGCCACACGGGCCATGCTCTTGGGGGTCCAGATTTGTCCCTTGCATACTCCTTTTCTTGGTTGAACAATCTGGGAATTTGGTGTGTGTGTGTGTGTGTGTGTGCAAGAAGAGAAAAAGCTACTATACAAGGAACCTTTACTCTGCACTGGCTCTGAGATGAATCGACTACAAGGTCTATCATCCTTATTTCATTTTTCCCACTTTAGAGATGAAGAAACTGAGGTTCAGGAAGTTAAGTGATGCCAAGTTCTGAGCTGAACCCAGGCAGCCATGTCTCCTTAGCCCCCTTTTCCTATCCCCTTGCTGTCTCATCAAGTGTTCCTATGATTGCCATTCTGAGCCCTGCTCACCAGCAGCACGTTGAGGAGAATGAATTCATTCACTGCAAAGAGGGTCACTTGGAAGAGAGTCATGATGAGCAGCTGAACAGGGCTGACTTTGCCCAGGACTGCCCCAAAGGCCACACAGACTGAGCCCACGCAGAAGTCTGCATTGATGAGGCTGTAGGGAGACAGATGGGAGAGACAGGCAGAGAGCTGAGGATCCAGCAAGCAGCAGCACTTTCAGTCCTGGGTTTGAATCTGGGCTTTGGCTATCCATGCATTTGGGCTTGTGACGTAATCTTTCTGAGCCCTAGTTTCACAATCTGTGGTAATAGGTACATACATCGTAGGACTACTCTGCAGGTAACAGAGGTAACATGTGAAGAGCCCAATACATCCGGGACACACTCAGTGCTACCCTTCCCTTTGCAGTCTCACTCTCAGGAGCTCCTCCTTGTGGTCAACTTGTGTTCTGACCCAAGTAGCCTGGCTGCTCCACATATGAGGTTTGCCTTATTCTCCCATCTTTTACCTGCCCTTTTAGAACCTCCACTCACTGCCTCCTCTCTCAGGAATCCTTCCTCAATTCCTCCAACCAGATGAGCTCTCTGCCACTAGGCCCTTTTCTCTCATACCAGGGCCAGCTATTGTGGGATTCCCTTCTTCTTAGCCAGGAGGGAAGATCTTTGCCCAGGGAAGAAAGAGCTGCTTTTCTACAGGAGACAGGGAGCTGGGTAGAGGGAGGGGACAGGATGACCATCTGAGAGAATGGAGACAATGGAACACACAGGGCATCCTCCAGTCTGGACCCAGAAAGCCCGGCCCAGCCCATCAGAAGGGTGGTAGAGAGGTGGAAAACCAGGTTGATGCTGTGTGACCAAAGTAGATGCTGCTTCTAGCTACCTATCTGCTTTCCCTAACCAGCCTCCCTGTTCCTGGCCAGCAGTAAAGCCCTTCTGCTGGATTCTAGAGCAGCCCCTCAGGTGGTCCCAGGCCATAGAGTTAATGGTATGGATGTAGGGAAGGCAGAGGGCACCCCATTCAGTGTTCTCTGTACAACTAAGCTTCTGAAACTGACTTAGGCAGCCTGGCTCTCAGTACCAAAACCAAAAGCCAAACTCATTACCTTCAAGTCAATCCTGATTCATAGTGACCCTGTAGGACACAACAGAACTTCCCGATAGGGTTTCCCAGACTGTAATCTTCATACAATGGAGCTCTGGTAGTGTTCGAGTTGGGTTGCTAACCTTCAAGGTCAGCAGTTTGAAACAACCAACCATTCCGCAGGAGATAGATAAGGCTTTCTGCTTCCCTAAAGATTTACAGCCTCGGAAACCCTGTACAGGGTCACTATGAGTCAGAATTGACTCCATAACACATAACCACCCCCACCAATCTTTATGGGAAGTGATGGCCGCTTCTTTCTCCAGCAGAGTGCTTGGTGGGTTTGTACTTCCGACCTTTATGTTAGCCACTGCACCACCAGGGATCCTTGCTCAGGGCGCAGGACAGGGTAGTGTTGATGTGCCTGAGCCTAACCACTAGAGCAAAATCTGGCCTTGGGTCCCTGCAGCTTCCCATAACTGCTGGACTCCATTAAAACTCCTACCTGGGAGTTGTTGATTAGGGAGCTATGTGTGCTGATGTAGGTAGCAGGCAGGGTGTACGAGGCTTGGATAGCTGGGTAGCCGGGAGATAGCGCATAGCTCCAGGTCCACCAGGTCCCGCCCACCTGCGTCGCCTGCCCCACGCCCCACCCCGCGTCCTGTCCCGCCCTCACCTCTCCAAGCCCAGGAAGATGTAGCCATCTTGGAAGGTGTGGAACCACCCCTGCATGAGCAGCGCCCACTGGATACCAAAGGCCGCCAGCAGGAAGTTGAAACCCACCGCGCTGAAGCTGTAACGTTGCAGGAAGGTCATGAGAAAGCCGAAACCCACGAAGATCATCACGTGCACGTCCTGAAAGCCTATGGGAAGGGTCCAGCAGCGGATCTCAGAGGCCTGTGATAGCCCTGGGTCTGGGACAGCTGGGTCCTCGTCACGCCTCTACCTTTCCCACTCTGTTCTCTCCCCTCCCCCTATGTCCCTGCAGTAACAGGCAACTGGAACCATCACCACCCTCATCTTCTCTTACTGGCCTCTGGAAAGGGTCTGTGCTGAAGGGTGGACCAGGTATCCGCTTTAGACCACTGGGCTATAGTGCCAAGAGATACAGAAGGCCCCTACCCTTGAGAGATGGCCTTCTCCCAGGCTGGCTCTATTCATCTGAGGTTAGGCTGGGGCTCTGGGCCTTTAAAATAGGGGCCAGGTCGTGGGTTTTACTCAGAATCCAGAGTCTAGACCTTGCCCTCCCTACTCCAGCCCCACCCCATTCCTCTGCTTTGGAGAAGGAAGAATCATCTGACCAAGGAATCCCGTGGACGGGTCAGCCACTGGTTAATCACCTCCAGGGATATCCCTAACCTCTATCTCTATCCTCAGCAAGTACACTCTCCAGCATCACTGAGACCTCGATTTGGACCCCTGCTCCCCAGTGTGGAACTCTGGGGAAATTACCTAACTACTTGGGTCTCAGAGCCTTATTCTCTAATGCTTCCTTCCCAGATGTTGTAGGGATTAACTGCATATGTGTATGTAAAGCTCCTAGCACAACATCTGTCCCACAATTCAAAAAACACCAGTTGCCATGGAGTCGATTCTGACTCACGGTGACCCATGTGTGTCAGAGTAGAATTGTGTTGCATTGAGTTCACGATGGCTGAATTTTTGGTAGGATGCATACACCACTAGGCCTTTCTTGTGGGACATCTCTGGGTGAACTCAAACCTCCAACCTTTTGGTTCGCAGCCAAGTGAATACACCATTTGTCCACCTAGAGACTCCTGTCCCATAATGGTGGTGCTGGTGGTGGTGGTGTGCCGTCAAGTCAGTTCTGACGCATAGTGACCCTGTCTAGGGTTTCCCAGTCTGTAAATCTTAACGGGAGCAGAAAGCCTCATCTTTCTCCCGCAGAGCGGCTGGTGGATTTTCGAACTGCTGATCTTGTGGTTAACAGCCCAGTTTGTAACTCGTTTGTATCTACCAGGGATCCTTAATAGGTACTTAAAATGGGCAGGTGTTGTAATTTATTGTTATGTAGGCATCGTTGTTGTTCCGACTCATAGTGACCCTGTATAGGGTTTCCAAGGAGCAGCTGGCGGGTTTGAACCTCGCCATGTTCTAATCCTGGGTTAGGACCCATCTCTTCTACCAAGTCACAGTGTGGCCTTTGCAAGCAACATTCCCTCTTAGAGCCTCATTTTTCTTAATAATGAGGCTGATCTCCCAGTGCTAACATTACAGGGTTCTAGAATCTAAGTCAATACCAAAAGGGAAAGGGATTTGAGAAGGAAAAAGAGTTACAGAAGTACAAAGTACTAAAGAACCACAGATAGCACAAGAGCTGAGGGCCAGATTGAAGGCTCCCAGTGGTTTACATACTGTAGTGAATTAAAAAGAGAAACGTATGAATCGACACAGATCATAAACAGGCAAATAAACGAATAGCAGGGAGGGAAGGCTATGATGAACCTTGAAAGCTTGGTGAGTGAAATCACGCAAAAACCAAAGTGAAATCAACAAAAGGACAGATATTGTATGATCCCATAGTTAGGTGTTCAGAGATCAAAGTTTATTAGTGGTTACCAGGAATAGATGCAAGGCAGGGAGAGAGAATCATTGCTTCGTGGACACTGAGCTTCGGGGAAGAGTGATGGAAAAATATGGAAATGGACACTGGTGATGGTTGGACAACATGACAAACATGATCAATGTCATGGAATTGTACATTTGAAGAAGGCTGCAGTGGCAACTGTTTGGTTACTTTTATACCACTAATTTTTCTTTTTTTTTAAGTTAAAAAAATATAAAAAGGCACGTACCAGGCCTAGCCTGACCCCACCTACCTGCCTTAACATTCTCACTGTACATTCCTTATTCCTTTTACTGTACTGTCGATTTCTGAGAGCTTAGTATTAATCTTCTGGATTTCTAATTGCAGGTTTTGTATTGTTTCAAAATTTTCACTTATTTTGTCAGTTTGTTCTTGTAGTGTTTTCCTGAATTCTTAAGTTTTTATTGTGTTCTCCTTATTTTCCTCGATCTTTCTGTTAATCCTTTGAAGGGACCTAATTATCAACCTTTTGACTTCTTTTTCAGTTAGTCCCATTACCTTTCCAGAAACATTTTCTGGCTCTGCATCTTGGTCATTTGGTTGGGCCATTCTCTCTTGTCTCTTAGTGTGAGCTAAAATTGTCTGTTGTCTCTGGGGCATTGTGGGGTTGTCATATTTGTAAAAACAAACAGTACAGTTGTTGAATTCAAAGGGGAGAAATCTCTGGGGAGAAATCTCTGCAATTCAAGGAGCTCACAAGGTCGTTGTGGAAGGGATGTGACGGGGGCGTTCCTGGCCCTAGATGGAATTCTTTTGGCCTCAGTGTTAGCTCTGTTCAGGGCACTCAATCCAAAAGTATTTCAAGGGGCCCTTGATGGAACTGTTTTCAGTGTCTGTTAGGACTACAGGAAAGTTAGGGGTAGTGTGACTGGTTAAATGCTGGCCTGGTGGCTCTGCAGGTTTTGCAGATCTGGAGCCAAGAATCGAGGCACCAAAACTGCACACCAAAGTGGCACAGCCAGCCCTCACCGCATGCTGGCATGGCTCCCAACCATGTGGCTCTGAACTCCTGGAGAACAGGGTCTGCACTGGGGGTGGATGATGGTAAACACTGGCCACACTTCTGGTCACCAGGGGAGCATGAGGGAAAAGAAGAAATCATGCTCTTCCAGGCTTCCCTCTGCTGCTCACACGATGCTCTAGCCACATCTGGCCAGCTGTTCACCAGTCAGTCTCCCCCTCTCACTATCCCCGCTGGTCTCTCCTCCAAGCAAGCATTCCATCTACCTCTCTAACCTTCCTTTTGAAGTTCAGGGTGCCAGAATTTTCATCTGTGTCTGTTTTATTTTGTCTCTTGTATCTTTGTTGTAGAGGGTCCATGTAGTGCCTCTCTCTAGTCCGCCATCTTGCCAGAAGTTTAAACTATAAAACCCTTCAGAAGGCAGGGCCATACAAGAAGCATTCTCAATAAATATCCATGAATGAATGAATGGTGGTGGTCATGGCTATCCCAGCAGCACCCAGGAATGTCAAGGTGGTGGGCTGGATTTTGGTCAGGTGGGCTCCACTTCAGTCTAACACCTTCTACTAACTACAGTGCTGACTGACCCTGGTACCCATTGCAGAGCCTGGCTAAGGGGCAGGGATGCTTGTGTTACCACTGCCCTCACTTTGCTTGCCCCCATCTGCCTTCTCTCAGATCCAGGCCATGGCCACAGACCACTGGGTTAGCAGCTGCCTAGGGGAGGTTTAAGGGTTCTGGCACGTTCAGGGTATGCACACTGATGCTGGAGAGCTGCCAGTCCTGTCTCAGTGGGGTGCTCTCAGCCTTCCCTCAAGTTTTGCTTCGGTCTCAAGGAAACATGTGCCAAGTTTACATGCGACAGAACAAACAGCACTTTGGCTTAGGTTTCATAATGTGTGCAGCTGACTCCAAGTATTACTCCATTTCATCGTTTATCTCGTTTCCAACCGTTGTGGGGGGAATGAAGCTGATGTACAGGGAAGCATCATCAATGATCTGATGTTATTCTGAGGAAGAACGGACGGGTGGCAGATGGGAGGAGAGGCGTGAAAGGAGACACAGTAAGACTACAATTTCAGAATTGGGAATGGGGAGTTGGCCGGGTGGTAGGGCTGTTGGTGAATACCACGTCACTGTGGAGCTGACTCTGACCCATGGCAATCCCATGCGGGTTGGAGGAGAACTGTGCTCCTTAGGGTTTCCAATGGCTGTGATCTTGTGGAACTAGATGGTCCGGCCTTTCTTCCAAAGTGCCTCGAAGTGGACTCTAACCTCCAACCTTTCAGTTAGCAGCAGATCATGTTAGCTTGCACCACCCAGGAACTCTGTTAATAAGCTCTGGAAGTGGATAGAGGCTGCCGGTTTAGGAGGCGGATGCTGGGTCTAATCCTGACCATGGTGAGTCTGAGGTGACTACAGGGCAGGGTGGGGAATGGGACTGCATGGGAGAAACCAAGCCTGGGTGTGGGGTTGGAGTGGGGATCTAGGGTTGGGCAGGTCTGCAAGTAGAGTTATGACTTTGAGTAGGGACTGATGGTAGAGAGATCCAGGCTGAAAGCAGGTATGTCTTGAAGCCAGCAGACAAGACAGGAGCCTTCAGGAAAAAGTAGCATTGCATAAGCAGGGCAGGGTCCTTCAGGACGAGCAGGGCCAGCTGTCCTGTAGCACTGAGGAGCTGTGTCGGCAGGGGCTGGGCTGAGTGGGCCATGGGAGCCGCTAACTGCAGGGTGTTGGTAGTCAGGGGGCTGCCTTTGGTCAACCTGTGGCCTCAGAGAAGAGCAGTCCTTCCTCTCTACCTCTCCCCCTCTCACCACTTCCCCTGTCCTTCCTTGGGTGCCCTGAGGTCTCTCTCTGACTAACACTAGGGGGTCTCTTTCTTTTTAATCCTTCCCTTGTGGATATAGACACCAGATTCCCTCTCCTTGGGCATCTCCCTGATTCACTCTGTCTTTCTCTCTCTCTCTTTTTTTTCCTTTAAGGTCGTTATTGTGGATTGAGTGAAAGTTTACAGGGCCAATCATTAGTTTTACATTCAACAAATCATACAACTTGTTTCCTCACAATAATTACATTCCCCTCCATGTACCATCAGTTAACAGTATTTCTCTCTATTCACTATAGTTCTTTTTAAAAAAACAAAAAAACACTCAGGCATGTATAATAATTTATACCACCAAAGGGCACATTTTGCAAGTCTGCCTCCTGGCTGCTATCTCTTAGTCCCTTTCTTCCCATGAATCTAGAGTCCTCAGCTGCTCCTTCTCTCCATGTCCCCATCTCTGCCTCCATCT